GTCGATCAATATATACCAATAAATAAAACTAAGGTAAATAAATAAATAAAATTAAAATGTGAAAATCGCGCCGACCGATATTTCGCGCGATTTTTTTTAATTTTTTTTTTATTTTGGGGGGGGGGGGGGGTAAGGAGCACTAATTTTTGTTCTTTTGCCTCCTTTTTCTATACCCCCCCCCCCCATACACCGCGTACACGACCTGTCTGAGCCATATTGAGGGAATACAAGTTGCGGAGACAACTGGCAGGGGGTTCACAGCTATAGCTGCCCTTTTACCATAGTACATCTCTATGCCTTTTTACCCATTCTTCAATATAGCCTATAGCTTAGTTATAAGCCTCCCTTTTTGTTTGTTAATTCAACCGTGCTTTTTGTATTTTGTTGTCCGAATTACGAACACGCACCAAAGAAGAATGTTCTATGGTCACGCACATTATTCACCATTTCTAAGGACGGGTGCAATAACATGCTCAAGCAGCGGCTATGTTGCACTTAAAATCCAGAGTCATAATTTAGGGACGCTCTGCTCATTTTCCTGAGGTAGAAACCAAGACGCCTAAATTGAAACTAATCCAGAATCCACGGCCCACTTCCACTTGCACGGTACGATCGTGTTGAATTTGTTCCACATGGGTTTTCTACACATTATTATTTTGTGCGGTATAAGGTATAGTTGTACCGTACGCGTACGTACGTATACATGCTGCATGCATGCATGCATGCTGAACTCGATGAGGCCGCGCGTTGCGCTCGAAGCATGCTAGTTCGAGGGGAAAGGAAGAAAACGAGGGTCTTCATAATCAGATGCAGTAAGCATGGTAAGACTTGAAATTCGTCAACTATAACCAGATGAAGCGGTGTGAGGCAACATATATTCATTCTACAGTCCGACAGAAGTAGGACTTTTGGAAGGACTGCGTTCCCTGCTCCTCAGCCTCGGCGCTGACTTTCCTCGACACGAGACAAGTACTGAAGTCTGAAGTAGAATCTACTGTCAGTGTCAGTAAATGACCATCAACTGAGCTCAGTCAAGTCATGTTTCTGTGACAGGATGATGATGGAGACACCAAATAGCAGTCATCAGTTTTAAAGCTAAGTTCAGTACTCTCATTCTCAAACCTGAAGTATTATGAGGCAGGATATCAATGACATGTGGTAACTTTTCTTGTGATGCCAGAAAACAATAATTAGTGTCATTTTTTAGGGAAATAAATTACAATATAAATAAAAATGAGTCGCCAGAGAGGAGCAAGTTGTTGGAGGTGGGTGATAGGAGGGAGGTATTTGTAACTGCATTTGAAGTTGATAAGCAAGAGAATGCATTTCGATTTTGGGGACAGTTTGACAATGAATCTGTGGAGAGGCTGGAGACTTTGATGCAAGAAGCACAAGTGCACGCAGAGCAAGATGTGTTCCACCTGTGGGATCACTTTCGGCAGGTGATACGTGCCTAGCAAAATTTATGGAAGATGGGCAGTGGTATCGCGCAAGAGTGGAGAGCGTCACTGGCAATGATGTCATTGCATACTTCATAGATTTTGGGAACACAGAGATCATTCCAAGAGTCAGAGTGAGGACTGTTCAGAAAACGAAGAGTGTTTTTGATCTACACCGCAAGCGACTAATTGCAAACTTGCCAATGTGGAACCTATGCTGGAACATCATCTTTGAAGGCAGGCACGTATGATTACATACGCAAGCAGCTAGAATACCAAACCTTCGCAGCAGAAGTTTATTGCAAAAATTGGAGGGAACCTGGAGGTGAAGCTGTGTGATATAGGCAGTGGGAAGGACGTTGCGCAAAACATAATCCGTGATGGATTCGGACAAGCAGCTACCGGTGAAGCCAGCAGCCATCAAAGAAGAATGGATTCAAGACGATGGGACTGGACGTCGGCAGTCGAGATCGTGTCTTTGTTAGCAATGTCAACACTCCAAACCAGTTCTGGATTCAACAAGAGATGATGACAAAGGACTTAGATGAACTCATGAATGACATGCTGACTCACTACTCACAGGCACCAAACAGCACTTCCAAGAAGAGGCGTTTTTCGAAAGGAGACCCTTGTGTGACTACTTTTTCAGATGATGGTAGCTACTACAGAGCTGTGATCACAAATACAATGGGCCCTAACAATTATGAAGTGTTCTTTATTGATTATGGCAACTCGGACATCAAAAGAGGGGAGGATTTGTTAGAGGTGCACCCCAAATTCCTCCTCCTACCTGCAGTTGCTATCGAGTCCTGCCTGAGTGATGTAGACCCAGATTCTTGTAATTCTGATGCAACTGCTGGAAGGTTTGAAGAACTGGTAGTAGAGAAGACAGTTTGCTGCAAAGTGACCAAAAGGATTGGAGACAAGTGTTCGTTGCTCATGGTGGATCCAACAGGTGGAGAAAACGCTGACATCGCAAATGCGTTGGTGAAGGAGGGGCTCGCAGGACGTCCAAGTCAGGGTAGCAGTCCACAAGCAAAGCAAAGCCCTCATCAGGGGTACAGTGCTCGCAATATCCCAGCTAGAGCTGGAGATGCTGGAGAGTCTCCAGCTAGGGAGTTGGATTTCAACCTGCCCAAGTTCAAGAAACCGCAGATAAGAGTTGGTGATCAGCTGGATGTGCAAATAACCTTTGTGAAAAGTGGAGCAGATTTTTCTTGCCACCTAATGAAAGATGCAGACAAGTTTGATCCAATGATTGATAATCTTCATCAAGCCTACTCTAATATCTCTCCTGGGGATCAAGGGATCCGGCAAGTTGCAGGAGGCCTTCCATGCTGTGTACAGTTCTCAGAAGACAATGCATGGTATCGGGCAGAGGTGACGTATGTACGGGGCCAAGATGTTGAAGTGCGCTATGTGGATTATGGCAATTGTGAGACAGTTACACCAGCTCAGTTGAAAAATCTAAAGCCACAGTTCTTCAGTCTACCTATCCAGTCTATTTTATGTAATCTTGATGGTATCTCACACACAAGGCTTCCAAGTCCACAGAAGTGAAGGACTTCATGGATTCAACCATAGCTGAACTTGACCTGGTGGCTACAATAGTTGGTGAGCAGAGAGGCACATATACTATTAAACTCACTGATCGCTCCAGTGGAGATAATATCAACAGTATGGTTGCTAATATGCTACAGGATAGCAGCCCCAGAGGATCACCAAGAGCAGAAATGCTGAAGGAGTACAAGACACAGACATTGAGGGAAGGAGAGGAGCTACCGGTCTTCATCGGCCATGTTGATGATCAGGGCAAGTGCTATGTCCAGAAGTCATCGACAGTTGGAGAGCTAGAAGCCCTTATGGAGCACATGAGCCAGCAGTTTGCAAACTTTGGATCTAGCATCCCAAAGTTGACAATAGGGATGTCATGTGGAGCCCAGTATTCAGCAGATCAGGCATGGTATCGAGCCAAGATCACTGGCATTCGTAAGAATGGGGACGTCGAAGTCACTTTTGTGGATTATGGCAATTCTGAAATGGTGAATCCAGGTCAGATCAAGATGTTGTCTCCAGACATGCTTGAGTTACCTGCGCAGGCCATTGCCTGTCTCCTAATTGGCCTTCCTGCTGGCCAACAGACAAGTGAAGAAGTTGCCAAGCTTCAGGGATACATAGAGAGTGAATGCACCCTTGAAGTGAAAGGAAAAGACAGGATCAGTGGTGTTTACAATGTGCGCCTAATTTCAGATGGGAAGTGCATCAATGATCAGTTTAGACAGCCTGTTCAACAGAGAAGACAGGATCAGAATGAACGTATTGTAAAGTCACCCCCTCGCAGTGATGGCTACAGTTCAGAAAGATCACGTCCAGAGAGAGAGAGATATGGATCACATGCTAAGTCACCACCACAGAATGATAGATTTGGTCAGCATATAGGCAAAGGCAGTCGTTTCAACAGTGATGGCAGTGGTGATGCCCCAGATAATTCAAGATTCTCGAAACCACGTGGAGATAGAGCTTCGGTGTCTTCTAATGTGTCGGACAGGTCCAACAAATCTGGTGGTCGTAGTTCTCGCTCAGATGACTCAAGAGGTAAGGGATCTGGCAGAAGGTCAGATGCTGTTTCATCTCCCACTAACAAAGAACCAGCAGTCCCTCTTCAATTCAAGGAGGTTACGTTTCCATCTAAAGGAACAGTGGATGTCTTCCTTTCACACATTAATAGTCCCAGTGAATTCTGGTGTCAAACAGCAGAATCAACGCCCCAGCTTCATAGAGTGATGTCAGAACTGCATGCCAGGTACAGTAGCCTTCGTCCAAATGACAAGAGACTGAGTAACACGACAGTTGGGACACCATGTGTTGCCAAGTTTTCAGATGATCAGTGCTGGTATAGAGCTGTTGTTGTGAACAAGTATGTCAGGAAGATAGAAGTGATGTTCGTTGACTATGGAAATTCTGAAAAAATGGCACTTGGCAACTTAAAGGAAATTTTACCTGACTTGGTGAAATTGCCAGTGCTTGCTGTCAAGTGTAGTTTGCAGGGTGACCAAGAGTGGCAGAGTGCACAAATTGATGCAATGAAAGAAGTTGCAAATCAGGTTGGGCCATTCAATTGTGAGGTAAAAACTGCAGACTGTGGAGTATACGAAGTAGAGCTGAAATGGAAAGGGAAAAGAATGACTCAAGAATTGAACAAGATCAAGCTACCAGCTCCACCAGTGGTGCCTCCTTCCAGGAAAGAAATGACAGCAGTGGCAGCTCCAGTCCTACAAGTACAAGAGGCTCCAACCACTACAAGGTCAACACCAGTGTTAAGTGTTAAGATTCCATCAGAGCAGAAAAGCTTGGTAGTTGACCAGATTGAGGATGTTGTCATCTCCTACTGGGAAGGCCCTTTCAAGTTCTGGTGTCAATTGGCCAAGAAGAGTCCAGAGTTAGATGCAGTAATGGATGGTCTTGCTAATGCAGAGTCGCAGAAGAAAGTAGATCCATCTGCTGTGCGAGAAGGGCTAGTATGCTGCGCAAAGTTTGCTGATGATGGTGCATGGTATCGTGCAAGAATCACCAAAGTCATTCCAGCTGGTTCCCCAGAAGTACTCTTCATTGATTACGGAAATCAAAGTTCTGTGCCGGTAGATGACTTGAGGGTCCTAGCTAGTAACTTGACTGTACTCCCTGCCCAGGCAATGCAGTGCAATCTCTATGGCCTCTCCCCTGCCCAGGCCCTGTCAACTCCAGCTGTAGAGAAGTTCACTGAGCTGACATCAGAGAAACAGCTGGTGGCGAAGGTCTTCAAGAATGATGTGTCCACACTAACGGTCACCTTGCATGACACAAATACAGAGGATGACATTGACATCACAGAAGAAATCAAGAAGGATGTCGGTGATGTGAAGGAACCAAGTTCATACCCTCTTTCAGAAGTCAGCACTTCGACAGAAACTGTTTATGTTACCAATATTGATGCTAACTCTGGCAAAGTCTTCCTTCAACTTGCCTCTTGTACTGAGGAACTAGACTCAATAACATCTACCCTGCAATCTGTCTATGGATCATGTAGTCCCACAGAACATCAGCTTCTCCAACCTGTTCCTAGTCAAGCTTGCTGCACCAAGTTTTCAGAAGATGAACAGTGGTATAGAGGTGTCATTACTGCTACCACGTCTTCCACGGCTTCGGTCCTCTTCATTGACTATGGAAACAGTGAAGAAAAGCCCATTAATGAGTTAAAGCAGCCGACCGAAGACCTTCTCAAAGTGCCACAAATTGCTCTGGAATGTTGTCTAGATGGAGTGCAATTGTTACCTTGGACACAGGGGGCTGCTGATCATTTCCTGAACATCACTGCAGAGAAAGAGGTATCCTGTACCTTTTCAAGCACCACTCATCCATGTTCTGTTTCTCTAAAAGATGACGCAGTGGATATCAATGCAGAGATGGTGAAATTTACAGGTGCAGGAACAATAGCACAACCAACAGAGTATCCCCTCCCATCTGTCAGTGCAGGAGCTCATCTGGGGTATGTTGTCAATGTCGATGCTGGAAGTGGTAAAGTCTATGTCCAACGTTCATCTGCAACGGAACAACTGGACTCGGTAACAGCTATGCTGGAAGCCACATATGGGTCATGTGGCAGTGATTTTCAACTTGCAGCACCAGTAGTAAAACAGGCATGCTGCACAAGGTTCTCAGAGGATGGCCAGTGGTATAGAGGCAGCATTACCACAATCTCAGATAAGTCAGCTCATGTCTTCTTTGTAGACTATGGCAACAGTGAGGAAAAACCAGTCAGTGAGTTGATGACTCCAACACCGGAGCTACTCAAGATACCACAGATTGCTTTGGAGTGTTCTCTGGATGGAGTTCCCAAGTCTCCATGGCAACAAGATGCTGCAGATCATCTGATCAATGCTTCAGCAGAGAAAGAACTGACCTGCTCGTTTGTATCAACCACAAGCCCTTTTGTTGTTCATCTGAAAGATAATGATGTTGACTTAAATGCTGACATAGTCAAACTAGTAAAGGGTGTAGAGAGCAAAGTTTCAGACCCAGTGGTATCATACGCATCTCCACAACTAGCTTCTGGAGTACAAGCAGGCTATGCTGTAAACGTAGATGCAACAACAGGAAAGATCTTCATCCAGCTAGCGTCTGCAACGGAACAGCTTGACACTATCACAACACTACTGGAAAGTACTTATAGCTCCTGCAGTGAAAGTGAACATCAACTCCAGCAACTATCAGGAGACCAAGCATGCTGTACAAAGTTCACAGAAGATGAGCAGTGGTACCGAGGCATTGTCATGACAACGACCTCATCCACTGCCAATGTGTTCTTTATTGACTATGGGAACAGCGAAGAGAAGCAGTTCTCAGACTTGAAGGCTCCTACAGCAGAACTCTTGAAACTACCACAAGCTGCCATAGAATGTCGGCTGATTGGTTTGGCAGAAGTGCCATGGCAACAGGATGCTGTGGACCATTTCTTGAACATCACCTCTGAGAAGGAGCTCACCTGCTCATTTGATGCAACCAAGAAGCCTGTCCTGGTCAAGTTGAAGGATGGTGAGAAGGACATCAATACTGACATGATGGCTCTTGTAGGTGAGAAGCCAAAGGAAAGTCCTGAAGAAGTAAAAGAGTACAAGTCCTTGAGTACCTCACTTCAGGAGCAAAAGAGAGCTGAGATTTACATAACTGCAACCACTTCACCAAGTGAGTTTTGGATCCAGCCCCTAGCCGGAGAAGAAGCCCTTGCCATACTCATGGATGAACTGAACACCTACGCTGAGAATCCAGACACCACTGCACTCGTCAACCCTACAGTGGGAGCTCCTTGCGTGGCCAAGTACTCGAGCGATGAAGGATGGTATAGAGCAATCGTCACGTCCTTGGAGAAGGATTCTGCAACTGTCCAATTTGTAGACTATGGAAACTCAGATTCTGTTGGGTTGGTGGACCTGAAGGTGATAACTCCAGAGTTGATGGTGCTGGAATCCCAGGTCATACGTGGTTCTCTTGCCGGTGTCGGCCCGGTAGATGGGGGCCAGTGGAGTGGTTCAGCTGCTGAGTTCCTTGAGACTGCTGTGGCTGACAAACTGTTGCTGATGGTAGTGGTTGGTGAATCAAATGGTGAGTCAAATGTTTCCTGATACATATCTTCAAGAAAAAAGAAAAAAATCAGAATGATTAGGGTTAATACACATGTATCAAAATTTCTTCATGTATTTTCAGTTTTCCCCTTTTTGAGTAGGAATATGTTCTGCAAAATAAAAGGATGTAATTACCATTTTTGCAGGTTTTAGTGTTGGTCCTGTTGGAATACATTTTTTAAATGATTTGATTTCTTATTAATATGTATCTAATCAAGTATATGATTTATTTTCCATATCAGGCAATTCTATTAATGCCCCATTTATTATTTCAAAGTGACAAGCAGTTGTTTCTGACATTTATTTTCATTGATAAAATCATTTATGCAATGGCTGTATGTGTTAAATTCACGCTGAATATTTAACATACCGTAAGTATTTATCGCAAATGCTTAGAATAAAAACCAAGATGAGTAAGTTGATTCTCATTTGTCTGAATACTCTCTCTTGATTGTGCCTGAGGTAATGCTATCTCCTCTTCCTCCAATCCTTTTTTCTTACGATTTGCACCTTACAGGTACCTTAGCAGTGAAATTGATGGACATGGGCATGAATATCGGAGATGTGATGGTAGACAAAGGCCATGCTGTGTCTACTGCTGAAAGGGTCAGGCAGTTTCCCTCTGTTACTTCCATTGCCTCTACAGCCAGCTCGTCAGGTAATGTGGATATAGTTTTGTCTTCAAATGAATACCTTGGCACTCTACAGTGTATGTACATGTATGTATCTGGGAAGGGGGGTGTAATTTATCTGTTTGATGGAAAGACAACGGACATCAAAGAATAATTTGCTTGTCCTTTTGTGTACATTCAGAAACTTTTACTTTGTAATAAAACTCGTTTCCTTTCAGCAACCACTACAAAGTTGCCAATTTGTAATGTGGGGTCACTATAGTTGAATCTTGCTTAAAATTGCAGAGCAATCTACTTCTTTCAGTCATATACAAAACAAAAATCACTGTGAACCTCTGAATTTTGTATGGGCATGTTCACACAAACTTCCTAAAAAAGAGAGTTAGTGTGGAACTCTGCTTGCCCTGAACTTTACCTTGTTATTTACAAATTTTATTTTAGCAAGAGGATAACCTTCTGTTTTTGTTTGTTGCTATAACAGGTGAAGCCTTAGAACAAGCATCCCTTGAGTTAGTGGAGCAGGTTCTCTCTGCAAGCCTTCATGAGCTAGGACTTGATGTAAGCGAGGACGGGATGGATCTTGCCGAAGCAGACATGGATACTGGTTTACCAGTGGTAGTAGAGGAGAAACAGGAGGTAACTTTTAATTTGTTTATTTCAGTCATGTCAATTGCCATATCAAATTTACCTCTTTTCCCATCCTCTTTGTCTTTTCTTTCTTTCTATATTTCTTTCTTTCTATATTTCTTTCTCTGTTTCTATGTTTCTTTCTATTTGTATTTCTCTCTCTCTGTTTCTGATTCTCTCTCTCTCTATCTCTCTCTTCCTCTCTCTCTCTTCCTCTCTCTCTCTCTCTCTTCCTCTCCCTCTCTCTTCCTCTCTCTCTCTTCCTCTCTCTCTCTTCCTCTCTCTCTCGTCCTCTCTCTCGTCCTCCCTCTCTCTCAATGGTCCAAATTCACAAAGCAAGGTTTGAGCTCAGACCAAGGTTTGAGCCCAAACCTCCTTTTGTTTCGCCAAACCTCCTTTTGTTCTTTACAAACCAGGTTTGTAAAAAACATGTAAAACGTGTCGTATGACGTACGAAAACCAAGGTTTGTCGACAAACCTCCTTTGTGAATTCGGGCCGTTATGTCTATGCTGCTTTCCATTTGTATTCTTTTTATCAAGAAAGCCTACATGTAGCTTCTCTTGTGTTGTAGAACTGTGTTGTATTCATGAGCAAATAGTAGCATCTGCACGTTATTAACTTTTACACAGGTTAATCCTTGAACTTTAATGGCATCAATGAAACTTTCATAGATTGGAAACAGGGAATTTTGTAAATTGTGGAGAATGGAAAATTTGTGGAGGTTTTACACTTGTGAATGTTTCTTGTTTTACAGTAATCCATTGTCCCTTATTAAGGCACTTTTTTTTTTACATGTAAACGAATGGCAACTGCGTTCAACCAAGTTTCTGGGCGTATTCACCAAGCTCTGTGTTATTAGGATCCGGGCTAACTTGGACCCAGGGACAACTCGGCCCCATTGCAAAAACGGTCATTTTTTTTTCATTTTACCCTAACTCTAACCCTAAACCTGCAAAAACTGACCGTTTTTGCAGCGGTTCCGAGTTAGCCCGACTCCATGTTATTAGACACAGAAATGTGACACGTATGCACATTATATAAAAAATATAAAAAAATACTGCTGTTTTGCTGCATCATATTTTAATGAGGCCTTGGTTCTCCTGCTTCTTCTTTCAATGGCTTGCTTTCCCTTCCTCTCTTCCATGCTCCCAGCCATCTATCAAAACCCATTCAGACAAGACACGCTAAACCACATCCAGAAGAAAATTGCCATGGCAAAACTCTCTGTATAAATGAGAAGCAAGAGACAATATTTGGAGTGAAAAGTAAACATACAGGCAACATAGAGCCTTCACACATACTCCAACTTGAGTATTATGAGAAATGTGAAGCACATGTCGCCTAGTGTTCGTCTTTCCCTCTGCCCTGGCTCTCTTTTTTAATCTGCTTCATTCATTCATATCTAATACTCCACTAGACCGAAGCCATAGCCCACATGGTGCTTGAGAATCTCCTTGCAGAGATCACAGGCAATATCTCGCTGAATCTGCTTGGTGTGCAAGTAGATCAGGTATGTCAAATGTTGTCTACAGCCCACCGCACTCTGTGCGACCCGACTATGATCCGATTCAGGAAGAATGTGCACTAGCATTCAACACAAACCTTCAAACTTGTCAAATCTGGAAGGACAAGTTTCTGAATAATGATATGAACAGAGCTGCCAACCAGTACGATTTTATCATATTTTGTATGATTTTAAGAAGTAAAAACTACAGTATGATTTTTCCTCGATAAAATACGATTTTCAAAAACCCCCCCAAAATAAATTTACTTTCCGAAAATTTGATTGTGCTTGTGTATGTGCCATTTTCAATGGTAAATTGCCCATTCTCTCCTGTAAACTATACCACAAGCTTACATCTGACATCGGCAATTTGGGAGATGTTCGTTGGTTCATCGAATGCCCCAGTCCTGACGAAATCATGGATTTTTAACCAATGGTCCATAAAAATACATTTACATGCTGCTCATTGGTTCATTGAACGATCATTCATGACAAACTCTTGCATTATTCAACAAAATGTTTGTAAAATGTACTCGTGCATTATTGTTCAAAATGCCGACGAACACAGTCTAACAAAAATAAATTACTTATCGATCAAAAATGGGATTTTTTTTGGAAAAAAATGGGATTTTTGTTCTATTGGGGTTGGCAGCTCTGTATGAATACTACAATAACAGAGCCTTTGAAGGAGGAAAACCCTTCTCAGCTCAGAATCGTAGTGATGTCATTTCAGTTTCACAATTGTCTATGATTTGAAGCCGATTGAGTTTTTATAGGGACTAGAAGGCTTAAAGAGAAGGTTGAGTTCTGGGGGAGAGGTGAACAATTCTTTGTGAGCATTATCATTGTTATGCGAGTGTGGAAGAACATCAAAGAAAAAATTTCCCTGAAAATCATGGCTCTTCAAATACCTTCATATTCCTTTATATTCTAAATAGATGACAAGTAACAGCTTAAAGTGACTCGGTAACATTGTTGAATGTAGATGAAAAAATTGCTTAATTTTTGTATAAAATGTTACTTATTTTATTCCTTCTACTGTACTAACCCTCTGACATGCAAAAAGCCCTGAACAAATTCTCAAACAACAAAGATATCTATGGTTTTCTTAGAAGGCGTCACTGTGCAACACCCTCTAACAGTGATTAACAGTAAATTCTCCCAACTAATTTTGAATTTTCCCAACCGTTTTCCATGAATAAAAAAAGACATAAAACAGGCTATTAAAAATCTGTCAACACTTAAATGTCTAGCATGGTATGTAGAGCCAATGTATTGCTTTGTGATAATTTACATTTTGTGATTATTCACCTAAAATGTAATTAAATTAAATTGTAATAATATAGTTGGGAGAATTAAGGAATCGATCAGATCAGTTTTTCCCAATTTGTATCATTAACATCCGTTTTCACTAAAATTTTCAGATTATCTTTAATTGTACATCTAGCATTGAAGTCACTCTCTTAGCACCACTATCTCTCATCTGAAGAATGTTACCAAGTCCCTTTAAACATGAGGCCCTATTTTTATGCTTCATGTTTGTGTAGTCCCATACACATGTTTCTGTGAACGATGCTTGTTACTTTACATAGACTGGGCCAAATTTCTTATCATTTTGATGACTGCAGAACCTTGCAGTACACGCACACCAATACTTATATGCTACATGATCAACCTCTTCCTCGTCGATTCCACACCGTTTCTTTCACAATGCAATCACATAACCAGAACTCAACTTTATCTTTTTTGGTATTCGTATCATTATTCAGAAACTCCATTAGGAAGATTATATTTATTTAGATTTCCACATGCAATGCAACTGCAATTTCTTTAAAAATCAGATCGCAGAAAGATTGTATATGTGTATGGGTGCTGTGAGCTTCATGGAAATGGGTTATCTGGCACTTTGTCTACAATAAAAGGGAATTTATTTTGGGCTCAAATGAATTAACATTTTATTGATGTCCCATAGCCCATGTTTTTTTAGCAGAGGCCACAGGCAATATCTCACCAAATTTGCTTGGTCTACAATTACATATAGATAAGGTCTGTTATTAGTTGCCCAATGCAAATGGGTCTGTCTTGAAAAAAGAAAACTCTTAGCTTCACTGAATCTTAAAATTGTGACCTCATTCCACTACAGATTGTTAATATTTGTTCCTTTTCTCTCCATTCACCAACTTTTCAGGTATGCCATTTTAACATTCATATAACTTTTGAAAGTCTCACTGATAACCTATAAAATTTCACTTTCATTTTACGCAGCAGTCTTTCAGTTGTCTGTCATTTTCTCGTTCGTCTTCAAATAAAAAAATTTTCCTCTCTCACCGTATTTGTGGCTTTTGTGTTTCTCATTTCACCCTCTCTCTCTATTTTAATACTATACTAAATCTAGAATTATTGTATCTTTTAGCTTTTACCGTAATTGTCCTGCTCCTAATCTTTGGAATAACCTACCACCAGCCATAAGAAAAGTCCCATATGTTGCTGTATTCAAAGTTTTGTGGAAGATGCACTTGTATTCAGAAGATTTTGAATAGTTTTTGGTCGTGTGTCCATAAAGTACATGTAGCACTGTTAGTTTTTTTCATTGTACAGCCCAGTAGTGTTATGCAGGCCTGATAATTATCCGATTTAGATCGGTTTCCCGATTCTTTTTTTTTCTTTCCCCGATTTTTTTTTCTTTTTTCCTTCCCGATTTTACCCCTATTTTCCCCAGATTTTTACCCAATTTTCTTACTAGTAAGGGGGGGAGGGGGAAGTTGTTAGATGCAATTTTTTTTTTTTACTCAAGGGGGGGGGGGGGGGGGTAGTTGAGGAGAAGTGCTCACCATCACCCCTGGTTATATAAATTGATCTGATTATTATCATTATCTTTGTTGTTCTAAACTAAATACTGGACCTTTATAGGGCATGGTGTCTTTTAAAAGCCATCCTGCTATGCAGTCCCACAGGTGGTTTAAACAAACCCAACATTACTGTACATGTGCATCAATGCAATTAACCCTGCATAAGTTATATCTGTTGGGACCGCGAACACAAATTAGACATAGGAAGTGGAAATGACACATATTTGTGCTTTGTTTGGTATTAAACAAGTTTATTCCTCTTGTGCGACTTTCAAAATGGGACCTTGAACTTTGTATTGACATATCATAGAACTCTGTTTGTATGAAGGTGAATGGTGGGAAAAAGAAATTGTAGTGGAAAAACAATCTCCAGAAAACTATTGTATGAAACATGCTCGTAACGTTCATGGCAGCACGAGAGCTAACCAGTGTTCTTGCATCTGTAGGAGGTAAGCAGTGCTGACAAGGAGCAGAAAGAAGGAGAGACAGAAGACGACGGAGTAGAGGAAGATCAGGAAGCAGAAGGTGAAGAGCCTTCACAGGGAGTCAAATCTGAAGAAGATGTCTTCGATGAGAACAAAGAAATTGAGGAGATGCCAGAAGAGCAGAAAGCAGAAGAGGATATTATGATGGAGGAAGACAAAACGGAACATGCTGCACTAGTTGGACAGAAGGTATGAACAATGATGAAGAGAAAACAAATGCATTTACATACATCTGACAAAACACTAAATTTCTCTAATTTGTGAAATATTCTTGTTGTGAAGATTGACTGTCATTTAGAGATTGTGAAGAGTATCATATTGTAAAGGTTTCTGGTTTCATATTAACTCCATACTAACAATGATTTCTTAATAGGAATACTGAATCCTCAGAATTATCCTTTGTCTTTAGTATATTTTTCCTCCTAACTATTTACACACAAGGATATCTTATGGGAAATAATGAAACCCACAGAACAACCTTTATCTTGTATACACTTTTGGTCCAGACTGTGCTTCCAATGATTTCCGAAAGTTCCAGAAGCACCCCTTGTCTTGTGTATAGCTGTGTTATAATTCTTCGCTCCCTTTGGTTTCTAAAAGGAAACTGATGAAGCCCCAGAAGGCACTGATGACCACCAGGAGGTAGAGAGCCTGCAGCCTTCAGAGACCAACCCTCAAGAAGAAGTTGCAGTTGCGGAAGATGTCCAGGAAGATGTCCAGGGCATGGCGGGAGAGATGCCTGAAGATGATACTCCAGAGGACGAGACACCGGTGGATGCAGTTCCTGAGGATGTGGTTGCAGAGGGTGAGGCCAGAGATGAACCTAAGCAACAGGCTGAGGGCGAGACTGAGAATTTGGGAGACGGCGTAACGGAAGATGTACCTGAGGCGGATGCAGCCGTGCAGGAAGATGAATCCCTCAAATCGGACAAGGCCTTCCAGTCGGACGAGGACTGCTTCAAGGATGCGGTTGCCGCGGAAGCAGACCAGCACAAAGCGGTAGGTATTCAACTTTCCCAATCCTTGTTCAAACATGATGTGCTAAACCACCTCAAAAAGAATTTCTGCATTAAAATAAAATGATGTGAGTGGTGCTTCTTCAATAACCTACAGATTAGTGGGTATGCTTAAGGGCTTTTGTTGCATGCAGCTACTTGATACACACTTGCCATTCATTTACCATGAATGGGTATACAAGTCTGCACACAGCAAACTCGTAGTCCACTCAACAAATACCCCCTCATCTCTCGGTGAGTCTTCTGGTGGAGCAAATGTCAAATAAGGCTTTTACCATATGGGTAAAAGACAGCATTACATAAAGCTTATTGGTCATAAAATTGAAGGCTTATCCCTGTGCTGTGGGGTAACACCTGTATGGTGTCAAATTCCCCATAAGACTCCACTTTTATGTGTTTATAAGTGTGACAGACTTGTATTTTAGTGCATACGGTATTTACAAGTGTCGTTTTGTGCGAAATGGTCTTTCTTGTGTTATGTGCGTGTATGCAATTGCTTGCATGATTTGACTACATCAAACTTAAATTGATTTTTTCTTCTGTTTTTTATCATTATTCAGTAACACTGCTATTTTCTTCTTTTTTTTATTTTGGTATGTGATTGTCTATTTCTCGATCATTTTGCATGTGCAATAGTCATATTTTGTTGTGATAATTACATTTATTATATTCCTTTGCATGTAAATTTTTTTTTCATTACCATGTCATTAATTGATTTCATTTTTATTCATGTTTATTTTCTTTATTTGTTACACCTTTGAAGAACTAGCAACATACGATTTACTTTAAAATCCTAAAAAGGTGAGAAAAATGAGTGAATTATATACTTTTTTTCATTTTCACTCTGCAGAAGTGATGTGCATATAGAATATAGAGACACTGTAGATCAAGAGTTTCCAAAACACTGTAGTATGTTTTCATATATCCTCAAACCTTCACTTGTCTATAAGACATTCATTTCCATGGGTCCTGAATGTTCGTTTCCATGGGTCCTGAATGTTCGTTTCCATGGGTCATGGTGTTCGTTTTAATTGGTGATCATTACAGAAGTACTTGACAGTCTTAAAGCCCCACTGCACTACTTAAAGCTACTTGCGCCCTCTATACAGCCAGCTATTCTTAAGCGGTACCCATTGATCCCCCATGATGTTCTTTTTTTTATGTTAATTGAGAGCTGATTTGATGAGATAACCACCTGCCAGTGACCTCGCAGGGAGGCTAATCCCTCCATGCTAAACCAGTGCAGAGGGTCTTTAATGGGAATTCCACCCTGATAATTATCTAGTATTAATAAAACTAGAAAAAAAAGTGAAGCACAAATTGGTAACACTGTCACATATCTTGCACGGTCCTCTCCAATTTGCTCTGTTTCATATTTCTGTTCTGTTTCGGTTGCGTCGGTAGATTCAGGTTTAACTGTACTTCACCAACAAATAATTTCATTTTGTTAGTTATTGATGACGGAATAGATTTGTTTCATACAGAGGTTGCATAAAAACCTATTTGCAATAATTATTTTTAGGGTGTTTGTATTCATGATTCAAAATTTTCTTCAGGGAGAATAGAAACTTGCATTTTTTTTTTTACCAGAGAGTAAATGTGATATGACCTCGCAAGATACGTCACAGAATTGCCAATTTGTGTTTCATGGATCACAACTTCAAAAATTCATAGCATCCTGATTTTCAATCAGATTTCACTCATACTTTCACAGACCTATTGCTCTCATTTTTGTGCCTCCGCTACAAAGTAGTCAGAGGCATTATGTTTTTGGGTTGTCCGTCTGTGCATCCCGTTCTTGTAATCACGTTATCTCAAGAACCAATTGATCGATTCCAGCCAAACTTGGGTCATGTATGTATCTTGCAGAGCCAATGAACTGATTTGATTTTAGGGTCATGAAGTCAAAGGTCGAGGGCTAATTATGTACCGGTATGCAAAAATAGCTTGTGATCGCATTATCATTAGAACAGATGGACGGATTACCATCAAACTCAAAACTTGTACATTGTATTATCTTGCAAAACCAGGACATGTTGCAGAGCCAATGAACTGATTATATTTTAGGATCATGAGGTCCAAGATCCTGTATATGTATGAAAAAAAGCTTGTAATTACGATATTCTGAGATCCTGTCAATGGATTACAATCAAACTTAATTTTTGTTTTTTAATTCTGTTTTGGTTTGAAAAATCACTATATGGCGGAGGCATCATTTTCGACTGCGTGCAATCAAAGTTCCATCTAGTTTCTGTTTATATTAAAACCAACGTAATATCAGGATTGACTTCCTCTTAAACCAGTAATAATGAACATCACCATGTTTATTTTATTTATTGTTTATACTAAAAAGAAATGATATTAATAATTCTCATAAATAGTAAGACTGAATATTTCTTGCTGCTTTCAGTTTATTCTTTAACCAAATGTTACACAGAAATTTAAATGAATATGTCAATTTCTAATGTCATGAAAAAAAAGTTATTAAAAAAATTTATCCTATGAAGAGGATATCTATTCATGCAGTATTTATCTTGAGATATTCATCATCATGTTAAAAGAACTATCGTTTTCAAAGTATTTTCTTGCACATAACAATTCATTTACATTATCATAAAGCCTACGTGTAAACCTGTCTTAGTGTTTTTGACCTCTCTATTTATTAATTAATTTATTCATTTATTTATTTATATGTATATCTCTGTCTATCTGCCAGTCTATTTATCTATCTAACCATCCATCTATCTATCTCTCCATCCATCTATCTATCTATTTATTTATGCATGCAGGCCACTCTTTATAGTTTACTGCTTATTTGCATACCAGTACACTATTCAATTTCTATAACAGTTCCTTTACACATACATATCTTTGTTATATTAGCTCATTACTCTAGCAGATTTAATTGAAGCTAGCACACCAAATTTGACTTTAAAGAAGTAAACTGGTACTATCAGTCATCCAAATAATATTTTTTGATTGAGCATGCACATCCCTAATTTCCTTCCTTTCGATGTCATTACTTGCATGATCAGAAGCGAGGTGCGTGTAGGCCCATGTAGTCACATTTATGGAGAGGTAATGTTCCTGATTTTCATGTTAATTGGCTTGCTGTGTGCTTTTTCTACTTCTGTTGTCGTTATTTCCAGCTTTCCCTATATCCTTTGATTGAAGTTTTCTTGCTCTCCAGGGCCGGTATTCAATTCAATACTTAGCATAAGTAAGAAATTTACTAAGTAAATGGCTAAACTATGTACTTATCTTGTATTCAAATCACATTTTAGACTTATACTTACGTAGGGCAAAATCAAGTAAAATACTATTAACGATGTGACATCACACGGTCAATCAAAAGTAATGCGCAATTAATGCGTTGCAATAAATGCACGCTGATATAATTGTGCGCAGGTTATATACTGCGTAAGAAAACCATATGCCTGCCAATCAAGGCCTCCAAAAAATTGACTTAAGTCTGGTAGGGAGCTGTCTTAAAAGTTTAGGGTAAAATACTTAGCCAAAAGTTTGAATTGAATACCAAAATTGGCTAAGTATTTTATCTAAGCCAAATGCTAAGTAAAACGCTTAAATTTTGTACTTAAGTATTGAAATGAATACGGGCCCAGGTTTTGAAGAAGAAAAAAGTATCAGATTAGAATTAAAATAAAGACAAAAAGCTAAAACAAACAAAAAATGTTTATCAGCATTGGTCTTTTGTATTTGCCTTTCCTTGAAAATGCTAGCTTCATAGCTTGCTGTATTTCAAAAGGGGGAGGCGGAAGGTTACTGTCAATATCTGCACTATTAATCTAATTGCTTTGCTCTTTACTGTATTGAAACTTATTTGCATTCAGATGCTTTTTTTTCAGGGGGCGTAATTTAGCACTTTTTTTGAAATCTTGATACAGTATTATTTCAGTTTCATTTTTGTGCCACTTGACTACTTTGCATGCAGAAGTTGTGTAGTCTGTTCTATGCAGTATCACAGATGAGGTATTCCTTCATATCATTTTAATACACTAACAGTGTCAGTTTGTTGCTTGATGCTTATTTCAACCTTTCACTTTAAATGCATTAGTTTTATTTCTTTTACATTACTTGTGATAACAGATTTATTAATTTTCATGCACATGTAGTTCAATATACATGTAAATGATATGCAGTATGATGTATTCCCTTTTTTTCCTCTTTTTTTTCTGTGTATAGTCTTAATGCTTTCTTTGATTTATTTTACTTACATACAACAACAAAAAATACACCAAATAGACATTTTTTTCCTTGTATTAGCAATACATCTTACCAGACATGTTTACAAAAATTTATGAACCCATTTAAGGTTGAATTGCTCTGTAAGAAATTTATGAGCATTTGAGTGTTTAAATCTGCAAATTTCTATTCAAAGAATTAAAGTAAGTCTGTGCTGTTGTGTTAGGAAATCAATTTTCCATTCATGTCTCTATTCATGTACACATCATGTACCGTGTAGTCTATTAGATCTTGGGGGTGTTTCACAAAGACTAAGATCAACTTTAAGTTGGACTTAACTATGGCAGGCAGTTCATGCCACTCTTTGCTCTTATCATGATCACAAATCTACAGAATTTACATTTTTTGATAATTCATTATTGAAGGAAAATTTTTTATCTAAAGATCGTAATGGTGAGAGCAAATAGTGGCATGAGCGGCCTGCCATAGTTAAGTCCAATTTAAAGTTGATCTTGGTCTTTGTTAAAAAACACTCCTCAGTATTACTAGGATTACAACAAAAACTATATCTGAAGTTATCCCATCTATAAAACATCCTTGCATCTATAATTCCTCCATTGTATGTGGGTTGTCGACCTTTTCTTGTCAATATAACAAAATGACCTCACTTGTGCATGTAAGAAAGGACACAAGTGACTTGGTGAAAATCCATCTTTTGAGGGTGTATTGATTTAAATTTAAGACCTTTGCAACCTAACCTGTAAAGGTGTCATTAATATCTTGTTTTCTGTTTAATAGGTGGAGGAAAATAGAGCTACAGCTAATCTTCAAGAAGAAGAGGATGATGAGACAGGGTTTAGTGATGTGGTCCAAGAAATGGAGAACAATAACGCAAAGACTCAAGAGCAGAATATGGAACCAGAAGCAGATCAGTTAAAAACCGCAGTAGTTACCGAAGATGATGGGGTTGAATTCAGAGAAGATGCGGGAAGAGGAGATGAAGTATCCACCCTACCAGGGGATGATGCTGGGGAGGAACTTACGAGCATTGCTGATGAATCCCAAGGGGACTTGAGGGCTGAGTTTGCTGCAATCAACCTGGATGACTCCAAAGACTTCACTGAGGCAGAAAGTGGAGCTGTTGCAAGTGGCAATATTTCAGCAGCGGAAGATGATGTTGAGGGAGGTGTTACTCCTAGTGACACCAAGGGGATGTTGGAGGATGTTTTGCCTGAAGGTCAGGCGTTGATGGATGAAAGTGGTGATGCTCCAGTGGTCGCCAAGGAAACTGATGCAGAGAGTAATGCTGCGGAAAAGGATATGGACAATGACGCGAATGAGAGTTTTGAGACGGCTCGTGGAGACATCTCCAACATCACTAGTCCTGGAGGAGGAGACACTTCCCTCTACGCCAGCATGAGCACCATCTCCGTCGGGAGTGGTGATCTGGACAGCACCCTGGAGTGCGACAAGACTCTGGACCTCAGCGAGTCAACAGAATCGGGAACAGGCAGCGGGAAGGGATACGGTGAGGTGAATGGGGGTGGAGGAGATGCCCAAACCCTTTCTCCTCCTCGCTGTGATAGCGGAATCATGGAAGATAAAGAAGGGGGTGAGGAGGTGGTCAAAATCAGTCAAAAGGAATCTTCTGTGATGAGTGAAGCAGGTATAGTTGATGGAACCATCACCAATGGAACTGATTAGAATATCAAGTTTCGCTACATATTGCTTTTATGTCTTCCTTAATCAGGCATGTTTGACAGAAATGTGAATGCCTGGTACTGATATAATTTGTTTTTGCATGTTGCAAGGCAAAGATAATGCAAAGCTAATGAAGTACAAGAGAGTGTAAATAGAAATAACTTGTTGGTTCATTTTATATTCAAATACCTTGAAAGTTATACCCATTACATACATGTAGATGGTGGACTAGTTGGTTAGATTTTGTAGTGTGTTGGTTCATGTTATAATTGATATTAAAGGGGAAGTCCACCCTGAAATTAAGTTAGTTTTAATAGGAGTAGAAAAATGAGAGAAACAAGTCAGTGAAAGTTCGAGCAAATTCCGATTAAAAATAAGGAAGTTAGGATTTTTGAAGTTGTGATCAATCAAACACAAATTGGCAACTCTATGACGTATCATGCGAGCTCAACTTCCATTTGCTCAGTACTAAAAAAATCTAAAATTTTCATTTTCCCTCAAGAAAAATTTCAACCATACATGCACCCTAAATATAATAATTGCAAATATGTTTCTATACTCCCCCTGCAAGGAACAAATATATATTCCGTCATCAATAACGAAGAAAACATGATTTTATGGAATATTATGCACAAAGCAAATGAAGGAGAGCTCGTATAATAAGTCACAGAGTTGCCAATTTGTATTTGATTGATCACAACTTCAATAATTCATAACTTTCTTATTTTCATTCAGAATTTGCTCAAACTTTCACTCACCTGATTTTCTTATTATTCTGCCTCTTTCTCTTCTCTCTCTCTTGCTCTCTCTTTCTCTTTTATGTTCTCCAACTTATTTTCTCTCTCTCTCTCTCTCTCTCTCTTAAATATTACTATCATATCACTCTCTACCCATTAATACAATCTTTATACTTGCTGTATTTAAGCATCTCAGGAGAGTTCTTATAATTGATAAGTTTGTTTTTCTTCTTCATTACTTTAAGTATGACAACATTTCTTATTCAATTGTATATGCATGTGGCAGGTTACATATCAATTTGTTGTAATTAATCATCAAACTTGATACTTGACAACATTGAAAATAAGAGAGTACAGGCTGATGAAAAGACCATGATTTTGTAGACGACAAGACTCTCTTTCCCTTTTTTTTTAGTTAGTCAGGAAGTGCCAGCATTTTCTAACAATTTACTGAAAGGAAATTCAAATCTGTATACGTGTACGGCATATCCAGATGAGATGATAGACAACCGCTTCTTTGTTTTCTTTAAATCATTAATTTTTTTATTTTTATTTCCCCTTAGTTTGCAACGTGCCAAAAAATCATTTTTGATATTTCCTTCTTGTTACAAGCAGTAAAAGTATTCCTCCCAAGCGTTGAAGTGTTATGTTTACAATTTTGTGTCAAATAATGTAATGTTCATGCTCTCAACTAATTAAACATGTAACTTTTTCTTCCATTTTTTATTATGGTTGCAGTTGTATAAAATTTGAAAGTCTTTTTTTTTTTTAAAGATCATTAAAATTCAGTACTTTATATCAAGCATTTTGAAAAAACATTCATACCCTAACATTAAATCATACCTAGTTGTGCACATTTTCTCTGATTACTTTAAGTGGGTTTGTTTGTATTCAGTTTGAGGACAATATCCTTCAAAATTATTTTTGAAACCGTTGAAGAGAAATATATTTGATCTTCACAAATGAATTGTATATTTGTAAGTTCTAGTAGTGTGCAAGCTGCTTCGGCTGAATCTTTCCTTTTTTCTCCTTGTCAGATCAGTTTTTAAGTAATTGTATAATAAAAAAGAGGGCAGTGAATGATATGTGGAGGCAGCTCCAAAAGGGCTCCAGATAAATGACTGATAATCAGGGCAGCGTTTCATGAAACCGTTGTAAGTACAACTTTACCAACATCCCATTGAAATGCATGTGTTGTAATGGACACAAGTTTCCATGGGAAGTCTGTGATCTTGTACTTATAACGGTTTTGTAAAACAGTTCCCTGGATAACTAGAAAGAGCTTTAAAAAGAGCAACGTATTGATAAATTACACAGAAAGCTAGAATAAATGAAAGAATAGAAATAGACTTGCTGCTAACAAGCTATCAATTTTCTCCGGTAAACCTCGAGAGCCGTGTTGAACAAAGATTTATTTTCTCTTTTGAACTCGCTGCCGAACTACCTTCTATACATAATTATTTCAACTCAGTGTTCATGTAATCTAGTTCTTCAAATCCTTCAAATGTTATTTCATCATCGTGCCTAACCCAAGAAATTGCTTCGATAATCAGCAAGAATGCATTTCTGATTTCACATTTGAGTTGTCATACTTGTACATTAGCAGCTGTATAATGTAAACTAAATGTCAGGTTAATAGTCAGGGTTAAAGGTTTGTTGAGGTCACTTCAATTGTGCTGCCAAAACTACACCCAAGGTTATTTGTTTTTATTATTTTCCTATATTTCAAGAGTTTGTCATTGTTTATGAGACAAATGTATTTACTTTAATAGAGCTCAAGTACTGTTTTGCTAGCAAAAAGAAGATTGGAAAGAAATGAATTAAATAAAGTTATGTTATTCTCCTCATATGAAAAGATACATGCACAAGATCAATAGGTATTGAACTATTCTATCTATGATTTCCAGTGAATTGTAGTCTAAATAACTTAAGTGCAAGAGACACTAGATACTCTCCACTACACTAGGACCCTTCCACCACGATGTCTCCCAGCAAGTTTATCTTGGTTTTTTGCTTGGAGACGTCCCGTGTCAAGACGTTGGCGAATGCACACTGTCCTCATAGGTTTTACATTTGTGTAGTGCACGTTACCATTGTTAGAATTCACTTCCCAAGATAGTATGTCAATTATTTTCTACTTCTCATTTTTGTTGTTTATTTCAATCGTGAAGAACAATCTTTCAGCAGCTTAGTATTGCTATTATCTCCCTATCTTATCATTTAAAATCAAAGAACTCTGACGTTCATTGAGGGCTTATCAAAACTATACCTGGCCTTCAATATAGACGTATCTAGTAGTCAAATGCATGAATAAATAATTAATACTTTAGAGTAGGAAAATAATTTACAAACTATGTTTCATAAACTTTTAGATGGTTTTTTGGAAACGTTATTTTCCATGATGCCAAACTTGGTTCAGATGCACTGTAAATAAAGGAAAGCATTAAGAAAATTTGTTTTACTTTAATTTTTGTTAGAGAGGGAAAAAAAAGGGAAATTTTTTGTTTGGATGCAGTGATGAAGCTCATATTATGCAAATATTAGTGGAAAGCTTTTCTATAAAGAATGTATTTCCAGTTTAAGTCAACTAGTAGTTTATAGTTAATTTTTTACAAAATTTTGTTTTACAAGATTTGTTTCTCGAAAAAGTTGTTACAAGTGTTATTGTGTGTTACGAAACCAAAGGTTACAGTATTGTGTTTCTCACTAAGTGTTCAGATTGAAAAGAATATAATAAACAAGAGTTTCTCAAGAAAAACTGTTCCTTATTTTTGTTTCTGCATTTATTGAAGAATCAAATAAAAAAAAAATACATATAATTGAAAACTTGAAAGTGTGGATGTAAGATACCCGGTACACAGAATGGCAAAAGTTTGAAATATATCGGACCAATAATATGGGAGTTATGAATGTTTGACACAAGGTCACTAAATCTATGAAAATCCAATTGGCAATTTTGTCGGTGCATTGTGATGTTTTCACAGACAACCCTCCTGTTTGCCGTTTACAAAAATATCACTGATTTTTTTTACACTAATTGGGCTCTCCATTGGGGGCACTCCTCAACATTTATTATGGATAACATATTAGTATAGGTCCTTGAAAAAGAAAAAAACCTTCCTGAGTTGTACATGTTGAAATGTGTGTGTATTATAACAAGTGGTAAAGTTGTCCTGCATTATGGCACAGTGATGTTGCAGATTCAGCCTATTTGAAGTGACCATACATACAGTGATTACAACAAAATTCATGTTTTTATCCTATTTCATTCAAACTTTCACCGCTCAGCTACTCTGATCTTTCTGCTTTCTTTCAGAGAATACCCATTTAGAAATGAGACAATATTCAATAGTGAGATTTCATTTGTGCTGTATTTCATTATTAAAATTAGAGCCAAATGGGACGGATATAAAAATATATATTACCATAGATATTTTTCAAACATATATTTGTTTACTTTGCTATGGACAACCTTTTTAAACAGTGCAAGAAACTCTGACTTTCAATATAATATAATAATTTTGTTATCAATACATGTATTGGCATTTTTGAGGTGGGAACATGAGAAAAGAAAGAAGCTAACAACACAAGGAAAGAGATCAAGAGTGTGTAAGAGGGAGGGAGGGAGGGATAAAGGGGAGTAAGAAATTCTGATACAGAGATCGAGATGCAGTAGGCAAAAGAAAGTGGAAAGGGTCGAGGCAAAAATCAAATACATTTTGTAGGTAGTTTTTTTTAAAATGTTTTAAGCAGTTACATGTTTTCTTTCATATCAATCACTTCTAACTCATTTATAATATTCTTAATTGCTTTATTTTTTCCTATCCTGCCTCTTTGCACTTTTACATCTTTCCCTTCATTTTCTTCCCTTTTATTTGTTCCTTTCTCTCTCCCCCCCCCCCCCCAATCGCTCTCGCTCACTCTCTCTCTCTCTCTCTCTCCCATCCCTTCTCTCTCCTAGCTCTCCTGACTTCAATTGATTTTGCTGCATACCATCTTTTTTTCTCTCTCCCTCTCTGTTTTCAATGCCTTTGGCCTTTCCCTTCTTTTTTTGTTTGTACCTCCTCCTTTCATGTAATCTTCTAAATTCATGTTTTGATGATACTCTTAAGAACTGTAAAAAAAAATATAGAAACAGTTAGCGTATATGTATAATACAAATTGCCTTTTTTCTTCCTTTATTCAAAATATACACAGCATATATATATATATATATATGATTTACATAATATACAGACATTTACAGTTAACTACATTTCACTTAGCATAAAAAAGGCAGAAGGGACAGAAAACAAAAAATTGCATGTAGCTATTGCTTTTTCTTTTTCATTTGCTCGCATCCGTGTTTTTTAAGAACATTTTACAAGGGGGGCTGACCCCTAGACTAGATCGTTTCTTAATTTTCAGCTGAAAAGCCAAGGAAGTGAACAAAATACTTGTGACATTTTTTTTTTTTACTTGAAATGACATAAATGACATTCAGGCACCTCGCTGCCCTAATATTAGACTATTCAGGCACCATGCTGCCCCAATATGAGGATATATATTATATAGTTATTGACTGGCAGGGGGTGTAATATTATAGTATTAATGACTGCTTTGAGAGAAATAGTTGTTTTATTACGCTCAAGGGAAGGTTAGAATTGTGCTATTCCCCGAGGCTTGCCGAGGGGAATAGCCCAATTGTAACCTTCCCGAGAGCGTATGAAAACAACTATTTCTCGAATATTAAAGCAGTCATTAATACTTTTATATGCCAAAAAAAAATAGACTAAAAAATGAAAAATTAAAAAAATTTATCATTTTTGTCGAAGACGGGATTCGAACTCTTGCGTACAACAAGAGGTGTACCGAAAACCAACGCTTAGACCACTCGGCTATGGCCCGCCGTTAACATGCTTGGCAGTTTTCTCCAATATATACATTAAAATGGATTGAAACCGGCTTCGCGTGTGATGAATGCTTCGCAAAAGCTCCATATACGGACTCTTCTTTTACTTTTGCAATGCATATTGGCACGAACTTAGATCAAGATCTATCGGCAGATGTTGTTTTTTTGTTTTTGGAAGTTTATTTTCGTCTTCATGTCAACAATGCAAGATAAAATTGTCGGTAAGATCGATCGAGATTCAATTGTATTGAAATTACCGACCAATCCTTCGCACACATACGGCATCCTCCATCGCTCAAACCATTTTTTAACGTGTAAACCTATGGGGTAACCATGGAGGCTGACCAACTTTTTTTAATAACCATGGTTATTAAAAATATTGAAATGTTTTATGCATGGTTACCGAGAATTTTACAGGAACAGTTGAAGTTTATGAATGCAATTCGACCAATCAGATGGCTGGATTTCTTAAGTGAGGTATATAAAACATTATTTGAACTGCTGAAGGGAGTTATATTTCCCAAGTGGTTATATTTTCCCAAAGAGCGCAGCGCTGAGGGAAAATATGGTCACGAGGGAAAATATAACTCCTTTCAGGTCCAAAGAATGTTATATACCCCCTGCCAGTCAATAACTGTTATATTAGATAGCCTTGGTTATACATATTTTTTTTGGGGGGGGGGGGGGTCCACATTTTTTTGCCCAAAATTTTTTTAATTTTTTTTTTCGGGGACAATCAAAATTTTAGAAAAAGAAGTGAAAATGACTGAAAAATAATATTTCGAGATAATTCGAGAAAAAAAAATGAAAAAAAAAAAATCTTGCCCAAAAAAGCATTTTTTGGTTAAAAAAAAAAAAATGAAAAAAAAAAATTCTTACCCAAAAAAGCATTTTTTGGGAAGAAAAAAAAATTTGGAAAAAAGAATTTCAAGGGGAAAAAAAAATATTGAAAAGACAAAATGACCCTCGGTAATGGTGTAATGTGTGCAATTGGTGACATACAGTCCTCAAGAGGGCGACATGCATTGATTAAAAATATATTCATTTCACCGGCCGGTAAAATATAACCAACCAGGAAAATATAACAATTTGGATTGATATCACGTGACGAGCTCTGGACCAATCACATCCCGGTATCTGTCTAAGCTATCTAATATATATATATATATGAGAACCCTGCTGCCCCAAAAGAGGGGTAGCGGTTGCCTGAATATCAGAATCTTAAAAATCCTAGAGGGCTGCAACGCCCCAACCTCTCTCATGTAGGGCTACGCACCTGTGTATAGCTGTGAATGATGCCTGCAAGAGTTTAGAAAAAGCAACTATATGTACTAGACATTGCCATTTTATGTATCATCATCCAAGATTTTTAGCTCTATTGAAATTTGTCAAATAAGTATTTTGAAATATGGAGAAGTTGTTCTAGAAATCAAAGCAGCACAATATAAAGAATGCTTATCGATATCTCAGATTTCAATGAGGGGAAAAACAAAACATAAACTGGCTGCATGTATTTTACAGTATCGATGGGAATTTATTGAAAGTGTGTGACGAGCCTATCATACTTACCAGTATTTCAAAGTCCTTTAACAATTTGTCCAGTTTTACAAATCTGAGATGCATAGCCCTACGTGTTATCAGTGTCTGTGATATGGTGCAATATTGAAGCCCTAAAAAAATTGCACTTCAATTGATCATGAAGTGCCTCAAAAAAGTAAAAATCTTTGAGTGACTGGTTTTACCAAACTCAATTTCACCAATAGACTGTAGTGTTATGAAAACCGTTGGGGAAAACAGTTTTTGAAATTTCGAATTCTAATCATAAATATCTTGATAATCAGACAGGCGATTGGCTTGTAAAACGTCATGGGATTCCTGACTGACCTAAAGGTTTAAAATTGTGATAGCAACAAGCGCTAAATCCAGGATTTTTTTAAAGAATCTGATTGAGGCAACATATGGAAACGTATCATCTGCTCAATCTGACTTGCATGCATAGAAGTTAGAACAAATACCATTAAGCATTTTTGCATAAAAAAGTGAAGTTTTCTTAAAAGTGAGTTTCTTTCCAGCATTGGGGTGCCCGAAAGTCACTGGGTAACCTTTCAAAAATATATATTAAAAATTTCTCTGTACCGGTACTTTTGTCGAGAAAAACATAGAAATCTAACCCAATTTCTTCTCTTTTGCATTGGAGAAGAGCAAAATAGCAAGTTTCAATCACATTTTGGCCGCTCTCGCAAGCTCTCACTCGTTCCACTGTGGTCAGGCGGCTTATGAATTTACTTATCGTTAGCTTTCTTCTGGTATTAAACTTGTTTTGATTGATTGTTCTTTGTACTGGTACTCCAATTGCCAGAACACAATTTGCATTTGGGTTTTATAATTTCATTCAATAAGTAAGTCAGTAAAATACTATGTTCTGCACAACACAAACAATGTGTGTCAATAGGGATTGAATATGTACTGAGGGGACCCTCATTGTGTCATAGTTAATTGACCCATTTGTGACCCCTGAGGAGTCGACACTGTGGGAGATAGTTTGTGGTAAACTTCTTTTATGAGACAAATCCAAGCAAACGTTTCCATATGGATACCCAATCCCTATAAAAGGGGAAGTCCACCCTGATATTATCTTGATTTGTATAAAAACATATTTGACGTAATTGTATAACTGAAAATTTTCTTTAGGGACAATATTTTAAAATATTTTTAGTACCTTGCAAGATACGTCAGAGAGTTGCCGATTTGTGTTTGGTTGATCGCACCTTCAAATATTCATAATTTCCTTATTTTGTTTTTTGTTCAAACTTTCACTGACCTGTTCCTCTCATTACCCTGCTTCTACTAAAACCAATTTAATATCAGGGTGGACCTCCCCTTTAAAATCATTTCCTTAAGAGTCAGAAGGGGGAGGGGGAAGGTGTTGAGGTCCCCCCCCCCCCCCCACCCCGTCAACTGCCCTATTCCTTGTTCATACATTAATTCCATTGTGTATCGAGTTACACATCATGTACAGTTTTGGTAGGCACTCAAGAACTTTTTGTTTGATTCCTTTGATTTTGGATGATAAATAGAAAGATACTAGCAATACTAGGTGTTTTCCTCTTCAAGTGAAACATTAAATAATGAGGTAAAAACTAACTTTGAAGGCCTGGAACACAAATTTAAACAAAGGCAAGTAAGCAACCTGCACTACATGTGTAAAACCGATGTGTGTATACGCTTTAGTCTACACGCACGTTATCTCCAGGCAAAGTGCTGAGATTGTTGTGCAGCGTGAGCCATCGGGGTGGAAGGGTCGTAGCATAGGCATTTAAGTATGTGCAGACATTAGCTTACCTTCCTGTCATATATGTACACAAACTAAACAGAAATCCTAAATAAAATACAAAATGATTTTGTACATACATTTAGCTACTAAATTATTCATACCCCTTGTAAATTTGTTTTGTTTTTGTGTTTTTCGTAACTCAAGAATGAAGCTTTAATATGTCACCATTCTCAAGAAACATAGATCATGCTTAAAAAATGACAAAACCTGGTAATTACATACCTGCCAACCTTTGAAGACTAAAAATAGTAATCATTTTTTACAAGGACTGTGACGGAGCGGAGCGAAGCGACCGAGCGGAGGGGGAGTTGTGTGTGGGAGAGGGCTGTCCCCCTCCCACGGTAGGGAGCTTTTGGTATTTTCAACATGTAGGAATGCATTTTCCCTTCACTTTAAACTCATTTTTCAACACTTATGCAACCCCCTCCCCCATAAAAAATATTTAAAAAACAAGGACTAAAAGCTCAAAATTCCCCTGATGAAATAGAACCTAAAGGAGAAAAATAAAGGGCTGTGCATTTAAGCGTGGTATGAGGTACTCGAATACTCAATTTTTTTTTGTTGTTGACACCACCATACTACGGTAGAAGTATCCCAGGTCCGTCACCGAAAACTCAAGCGATTTTACTTTGAGTTGCAGTTGAAGGCGCTGATTTAATAATAATAATAATAATAATAGTAAGCAATGCTGTTTTTAAAACCAAAGATGACAGACTAATTTTCCTCAGAGTCTAAACAGAAATCTGGACATTTGGTCCCACTTTCTGAGTGGTGAATTGACAGTGATTGAGCTGTGAAACTTTTTTTTACTCTTGGTACCATGCCGGTGCTCTCCCGGGCACGCTTAAGCGTCGGCCTGGACAGTGCCAGGGGAACGGGCAAAAAAAAAAAAAAAAAAAATAAAAAAGAATAAATAAATAAAAATAAAAATTTTTAAAAATTAAAAAATCGTAATTTTATGACAAAAAATCGTAAGGCGTAATTTATATCAAAAAATTGTAATAATTACGCCAAAATCGTAGTAGTTGGCAGGTATGTAATTAGGGCATGAATGATTTAGTTGTTTACTGTATATCTTTTGAAACGAGGAGAACAACATGAGACTACAATTTAGCCAAAAAAAATTCTCAACAGTGATATTTATATAAGTAGGTTATCACCACCAGATGAGCCAGCCTTGCTGATGACAGTTAGGTAGCTTACTCTGAGCTCCATCCACAGCTCCATGTGCAGTCACTTTCAAAGTAACCAAAATCCCACCGGGTATGAACAGATTGGCAAGTACTTTTCTCTGCATTAGCCACTAGAAACTATGATATCATTGTTCCACAGTTACCAATGACATCACCACCCCACATCTCATATTACTTTATTCTGGATAGGATGATACAGTTTTAGATCTGCAAGGAGTGCTGCTCTTGTCAGCTGTGAAATCACAAGTTTATCCTGAATTCCTGACTTGCTCAGCCTCTGAATACTTTCAGAACCTCCTGCAAAGAAGAAGGAAGAAAAAGAGAGGAGAAGAGAGGAAAAAGAAAGAGGGGAGAGAGAGAGTGAGGTGAAAAAGAGAAAGAAAAGCATTCATATTTCTAACTGATTTTTGAGCAAGATTGGGAGCAGCTTTTTATACTGTAAAACCAAAAAATTTGCCAAACTTGAGTGTTTGTCAACGGTAATTCAAACATGATCATGTATTTTTTATATATATTTAAAATATTAAATTTGTCATAGTTTGTTTTTATCTTCCACAAAGTTTTCGGGCGTGATGATTATTATCTGTTATGTATGAAAATCATTTTTTCTAATTATTTTTTTTATTATATATGGATATACTCTATATGATGGAATTTGTTTTGAAAATAAAGAACCCTGTGGAAGGGGAAAAATGAAGAATTAAAAAAATTAAAAACAGTAACATTCTTTTCACTTCATGCAGACCTTGGGCAATGCAACATCATCAAAATTATATCCCAAATTGTAGAGAAAACTTAGCTTGCCTTGGAAACCGAAAAATTTAGATAATTTTCAAATGTTGAACATTAAATTTGAAAATGGTATTTCATCAGAGCTACCAAGTATCACACATTAGGCGTACATCACGCATTTCGAGGGTCTGAAAATGCTCTTACGCACAACGCGCGCTAGATTTTGAAAAAATGCTATACCTTATACGTGTGTTATACCCTCGCACGCGCTTGCGCGCCGATTCATTAAAATGTTACGCATTGCCGATCTTTGAACTTGGCGTCTCTGTTTCATGCACTTTAAAACTTTATATGGGAGAAGGGGGAAGGCGATAAAAATCTGCTATAACACCGGGCAAAGTAGATTAGTAGAACAAATCAAAATTTTGTCAAGATTTGAACGTTATAAAATGCAATTTGTATGCACATAATTGTGGGGACGCAAATTTTTGAGATCCGATAAAGTATCTTAATCATTTGAATGAGCTTTACAAAATCTTTTTTTTTTCTCGCATTCTGAACCCTTTTACTCTTTACTTAAACAATCACACAGGCGCAGGTCCACGGGTGTGGGGGGGGGGGAGACGGGCCTCCCCCTCCCCCCTGGTAAAGAACAGAAGAATTAAAACAAAAAATTTACTCACGAATTAGGAAAACAAAAAATAGTGCTCTCCCCCCCCCCCCCCCCCCTCCCCCTGCTTATTCACTGGCTGGCTAAGTCGCCCCTAAATATTTCCTAAAAAATTGGGGAAAAAAAAGAGGTGCTCTCAGAAGAAAAGAATGATTACAAACCTTGGCAATGCTTCGGATGTGGAGAGGAGAAAGAGCATTCTCTCTGTTCTCTTGTGCTTCAGTATTAGCCCTGATAGCCAAGCTCCGCAAGAACAACATGTAGTTTAGAAAGATCTATCAAAAAAACATAAAACAAGGGTTCATATTCGGGAGACCTACCGGTATACCCGCGCGTAAGGCTTCTACACCTTTGATATGTGCGCTCGTCGTCCAATTCAGAAAATTGCCAGAAAAAAAAGGAAAAAAAATATCTATTGAATAAAATAACAAAACAAAAATACAATCATACACTCCACAACATACTAAACTAATCACGGACCTGTAATGGTCTTTCAGTTTCACCTCTTGTTGACGATCTTGCAGATTTTGACGTATTTGAATCCAATAATTGTGCTAGCAGAATAACATGAGGTGTACATTTCGTGACATGTGAAATATGATTGTTTCAAGGCTCTTACGGACAAATAAGCGTAGAAGGAATCCCCAACTTTGGAGCGAAAAAAGCCTTAAATAAATATCTCCTATTTTATGATCGATAGCACAGCTTGATCCCTCACTGTAGCTGCATAACTATCCTGGTTGTGTGCTGTGCTATTTTTATGTCAATTCTCAATATTTCAAACACCACTGTAGATCTAGACTACGAAACTCAAGTGGTTTCACTCAAAATCGGTACTTTAGTGACGATTGATGATGCCTAAATAGCAGTAAAATACAATTTTTTCAACTTTCCGATGTTAGAAAGAATAATTTAAAAATTCAAATTGTGAGTCCACTGTCGAACTGGCCGATCAGCCGCATCTGCATAAGTGTGTACTATGAGTAGGGAGGCCAATGCCAAAATCTAACTTTTTAATTACTCATTTGTTTATAACAAAACAAAGATTAAAAGAAAGTATTTTCTTTCACTAAGAAAATCCACCCATCTGCCGACTCCAGAAGTTCCATCAAATAGGAGATATCCAGCTCTTTTGTAGACAGTTCCTTCTACGCCTATCTGTACGTAAGAGCCTTGAAACAATTATATTTCATGTCCCAAAATTACGTTCATAATTAGACAGGCCCGAGGGGATGGGGCGTGTCATTGCCCGGACAACAAGTTCAAAACTTCGCACGAAATTCCATTCATCATCAGTGGCTAGCCTTGAATCGGTCGCACACACCGACACAGATAGGCAATTGCATTGCAAGCCGCAGTCCTGAAATCGAGCCATGGAGGGACCAAACATGAACAAACAGAAAAAATAAACATAGATCTACGTGGTTGTAGTCAATATAATCCTAGAAAAGAATTAAAATTAACAATTAGGCCTACCTTAAGGTGGTATTCCAAATCCAATAGTATTTCCTCATGAGTAAAGATCAATCTGACACTGCATTATCAACGATCGAGAAGTTACGAGGTCCAAATAACATCCATCTTGCAGCGAACACAATACGGAATCAGCATGCAATGTACGTTCGCAGACGTGTACTAGACCTATATTATTTATCTCACTCTCTCTCTCTCTCTCTCGCTCTAGATCCTATACGTAACGTACGGTACTCACTAACCATGTATCATTCACAAAACACACACCTTCAAATCATGGCTTTCATTCCAATTCTCAATTGGAGTATAGACTGCTCACGTAGACTTTTTTTTTACTGAAATATCTTTTTTAACACTTCTTATACATTACTGCACGACACTCGTATCTAGTGCTGTGAGAATTAGACCCCTAGGTACTATAAGTAAGACTACGCTTGGAGCACGATCTGACCGGAGCTCAGACATATGTCGCAATACCCTTTTTTTTTGGTGCGAACAATGACGTGACTGTTCACAGTTTTCCTTCTCATTTTGAGATGGATGTAGCTATAGGGCTCAAACCAACGCAAGATTGACAGAAACATCGAGTTCTATCTACCTTCGAATGTTCAGTTTGTAAAAATCTGTATTTAAAAAGATATAATCTTTTTTCTTTATATTTTCTAGTTGTTAGAAGTGGCAATTGTGAACATCTGAAATGTTGATCTCTATCAAAAGTTCTTTACTCAAAACGGATCCCATATTTTTAGGGTCTACCTTCTGCCAATGAGAAGGTTTTTAGTGAGCAAACCTCTACGCCCTATAGGATATTCTTAGTCGGTGGTGCGTGCGTGTCATGTAGCTTCTGCTACGACAATTATTGGATACAAATACGTCAAAATCTGCAAGATCGTCAACGAGCACAAACATATACACATTGGTATCTCTCGATCGATGAATCATGTCAGGACATCTTGCCCCAGACTTTGAGGCTGGGGCGAGATGTCCCGCGGGCGAGTTAGCCCGACTCCAGTGTATTGACTAGATTCTATATCATATATGTATTTAAATGCTGCCTATGCAGTGCTAGAGGTCAATACGCAGATTAGCATTGACTCTCTTAGACCGAAAGCTTCAGTCTCTATATCGTCGGTTGTCGGTAGTCTCAGTGGAACAACCGACGATATAGAGACTGAAGCTTTCGGTCTAAGAGAGTCAATGCTAATCTGCGTATTGACCGAAAGCTTCAGTCTCTATATCGTCGGTTGTTCCACTGAGACTACGTCTGGCTCCACTAGACCTTCGGATATAGAGACTGCCTATGCCATCGTACGTTGAAGATACACTCTACGGGTATACGATAAGACGATACTGCCCTGATGCTAAGTTAAATCCTTTTTTTGGTTATAATCGCATGCACTAACATATACAATTGGCAAAAAAAATCAACCACACATGATAAACATTAAGAAAATATGTACCTTGGACCTCTGCATATGATTAAATCTTCTTCAAAAAAGTGTTATTATCTCTTCCACTTGACTGTCTTCAGACGTCAGCCATCTTGAATCAAAGTAATGAATATTCATGACAAAGTTTTTTTAGTCTCCACCCCATTGACCTCATTCATAGACGTGCGCATACGTGCACGTACATGTACACCTCGCATCGTTTGAGTTCTCGTGTTGCCTGCTTCACTTGCGCGCGCTATCCTCGACGTTCTGCGCTGAGGAGCTAGCCGAGGCGAGGTCAACCATCCCCATTATCGTATTTGAATATTCATTAGCCGCCATTTTGATTTTTGTCGGACAGAATGCTTGACGTGGGTCATCGAGAAGCAGCCAAAAGCTCGGTAAGTCCTTTTATTTCTTTTATGTTTTTTATTTCGAGGGGAAGGGGGTAAAAAGGGAACTTTTAGGGACTGACAATTGCCTAGAAAATTACTGCAATTGAAGATAAATGATGTAGGTCTAGATCTAGATCTAGTCTACATGTAGACCGAAAGCTTCAAGCGAATGTCTACGACCAATTTTACATGTACGATTTTTAGTAGATCTAGATCTAGATCTACAGATACTTGGTCAGTTTTCTTCTTAGTCTAGACCCTATAGACCCTATCTTTGGTTTTACAACATTTAAAAATATAATTTCTTCAAATTTGCTCCTGACTCGGTTCAGACTAGATCTAATTGTGTGATGTGTTTTCAAGTCAATTTTTTTAATATATTTTTTTGCATGAATTTGCCTAGGTCTATCTAACGTTAGATATAGTCTAGATCTAGACCTAGATGATAGATCTAACTTTAGATCTACATCTAACGTTACTAGATCTAAGTTAGACCTAGACCGAAAGCTTCAGTCTCTATACCGTCGGTTGTTCCACTGAGACTACGTCTGGCTCCACTAGACCTCCGGTTCTAGTGGAGCCAGACGTAGTCTCAGTGGAACAACCGACGATTATAGAGACTGAAGCTTTCGGTCTAAGTTAGACCCTATTTCTCCTCAAGTTTGTCATGTTTGTGGGAGGGGCCTAACGGCTAAAATCTAGCCGTGATATCTTCAACATACGATGGCATAGGCGATCGTTCAGTCTGTATATTATCCGGAGGTCTAGTGGAGCCAGACGTAGTCTCAGTGGAACAATCGACGATATAGAGACTGAAGCTTTCGGTCTAACGTATAGGCCTAGTCTATGACTCTCTGTGCTGCTGGAGTGGACGGCAGGCACTCCAGCAAAGCATGCATAGAGAGTCAATGCTAATGCGTATTGACCTCAAGTACGGCAGGTACTTACCAATATATCCGTGTTTTTGCCTAGTCTTGCGTTAGGGGAAGTCCTTTTGATGATAGCTCGAACTTTCGAACGTGAACATTTTCGTTTCATCGTGGAAATGTGGTATTCAATCTTTCTGACGGACTCCGATCTTGCTTCGATTTTCAATCAAGGGACCGTAGTACAGCGGTACCGTACCCCCGCATTCATAGGTAACGCTAGAGGGCGACAAACACGAGATCGGCCAAATCATGTCATTGGAAATCCATACTTCACAATTTGAATTTCAATGTCGAACTTCGCGCGCTTTCCATCCATATCCCTCCGAGCGTGAGTCTTGAGGAGAACGTGATTCAAAATTCGCGCACTTTTACTTGACGTGGCTTGGATCTGGGGGGTGTTTCACAAAGATCCTAAGTAGAACTTAACTCTAAGTTGGACTTAAAAATTATGGAAAGCCGTTAGCGACTTTGAAAATATTTTGTAAAAGGTATTTTGAAAGGCATAAAATGTTGATTCAAATCATTCATATTTTCTATCATCAAGGAGATTTCATGTTCTGGATGTGGAATTTATAAAAAGTATAAAATACTTGAATTTCTGCTTTTGAATATATTTCATTTTAAGACTCCAATGGCTGTCCATAATTTTTAAGTCCAACTTAGAGATAAGTTCAACTTTGGATCTTTGTGAAACACACCCAGACCATAGAGATATATACTACTAAGTATGGGATAGACCAATTAGGGCGGTGGATGCGCTGCTCATCCAAATTCTCCGGAGGGGGGAAAAGGGAATTTCCCAATTCGGTCACCTGTTGTATGTAGCGTACCGTTGTTACGTATGTACGAGAGGCAGGACTTTTTTCTCGGAAACATGAACAGCGGATGAAATCTTAGTGAGCAGATTCGATCTAGCTCTTTTGACTTAGCTCTTTATTGAAGCAGGTCCAAAAATTTCTTTGCTCCGGCGAGATTCGCAATTCTGAAATCCAAACTATTTTCAACTTCAAGCGTAGAAGTCTAGACTCTAGGTCTACTTCAAGGGAGCTTTTCATCGGTCGTAAGGTAGGAAACCTTTTGCTTGTGTTTTAATCATGATAATGACATTGTTATCTTTGATTACCAGACAACTCGCCACAAAGACAACCCGCCCCAAGACAACCCGCCACAATACCCGACATCTCGCCATACAGGCGAGTTGTCCAGGGTGGGGTGCCTTTTCGGACAACTCGCCACACTTTTTCCCCCTCATGATTTCTAGACTCTAGATCTAGATCTAGATCTAGATCTTTTTGGTTACTAAATATCTAATCAATAATAGACTCTAGTCTAGACTAGGGAGGCCAATGCCCAAATCTAACTTTTTATTACTACTAGTACTTTTCTAGGTCTAGATCTAGACCTAGTCTAATTTGTTTAAATAATAAAACAAACATTAGATCTAGGTCTAGGCTAGACCGAATTTTCCGTCTCTTTCGTTCGTTAGCCTCTTATTGGGGTAGGGTCGGCTCGAGCCGACCCTACCCCAATAAGAGGCTAACGAACGAAAGAGACGGAAAATTCGGTCTAGGTCTAGGCCTAAAAGAAAGCATTTTCTTTCACTAAGAAAACTCACCCATCTGCCGACTCCAGAAGTTCCATAAAATAGGAAATATAGATCTACAGCTAGTCTAGTTCCTATGACAAGTATGAGGTTCCTTCTACGCCTGGCCGTACGTAAGAGCCTTGAAACAATCAATTTCAATTAGTCTACGTTGAGAATTAGACAGGCCCGAGGGAATGGTCATTGCCCGGACAACAAGTTCAAAACTTCGCGTGAATGTACATTCATCATCACCGGCTAGCCTTGAATTAGTCGCACACACCGACACAGTACTCAGGCCAGGCACGGTAATTGCATGCAAGCCGCGATCGAGCCATGCTAGCCATGGCATGGAGGGTCAAAACATAATGGAGAGAAAGCTCAAAAGCCACTCATTGTAAATTAAGAAAGTATTTGAAATAAATAAATAGGCCTAGTCTACCTTAGTTTTGCGATATATTCCAATTAGGCCTACTATTTCCTCATGAGTAAAGATCTGACACTGCATGATCGATCGATAAATCCAACTTGATATATAGAACTGAGAGTATTTAACAGTTTTGGTTGTAATTTATGTACATCATGCCTTCTATCTATGGCAGATCAAAAGTAGATCAGCATTTTGTATCTATTAATATGTTAGGGGAAGCAATACACTTATTAGCATACTGGAAATGCTTCTGTGCACCTAATATCATTGTTCTCTCAATGGAAAATCTATTGAAAGTTCTAGAGGAGAGGGGGAAAAGAAAAAAAAAACTTTTTTTATATGCATGCAAATTCGAAGAGTCTGTAGTTTCTATTGTGAGACTGTTGATTGGGTGAAATGCATCACTCCTTAATAAGAAAATAAAAGATGTAGCTTCGGAGAGTATTGGAATGTAAATGGATAACTCTTATTCTTAGTCAAATTTAATTGCCTTTTTTTTTTTTTTTTTTTTCTCAGGGCTGTTGCCAAGTCAAATGTCCTTATGTTTGAGAAGTATTTAAGCTTAGAACTACATGCGTCTCAAGAATGTTATCTTTTTGTTTATCTGTGAAATTTAATATTCTTAGAACACGTCCATCAATTGGTGAAATTGAAATTCCAGTTGCTTCAAAAGCTAGCCTCAAAGGAATAGATTGTCAAGCATTTCTTTTCTGCGTGACTAAGAAAGATGAAAATAAACAGAGTGAAAAGGGCACATAGTAGAAGGTTATGCGGATAATTCTTATCCTAAATCCAAATTTAAATACATTGGTTGTTCCCAGGTGTACTTATCTATTATGTCAGGAGAAGCAATACACTTATTAGCATCCTGGAAATGCTTTTTTTCTCTCAATGGAAAATCTATTTGACAGTTCTATAGAGGAGAGGGGGAAAAAAAACAAAAAACGTTTTTATATGCATGCAAATTCCAAGGGTCTGTAGTTTTTATTGTGAGACTGTTGGTTAGGTGAAATGTATCACTCTTTAATAAGAAAAGAAAAGAGGTAGTTTCGGAGAGTATTGGAATGTAAATGGATAACTCTTATTCTTAGTCAAATTTAATTGCTTTTTTTTCTTCTCAGGGCTGTTGCCAAGTCAAATGTCCTTATGTTTGAGAAGTATTTAAGCTTAGAACTACATGCGTCTCAAGAATGTTATCTTTTTGTTTATCTGTGAAATTTAATATTCTTAGAACACGTCCATCAATTGGTGAAATTGAAATTCCAGTTGCTTCAAAAGCCTCAAAGGAATAGATTGTCAAGCATTTCTTTTCTGCGTGACTAAGAAAGATGAAAATAAACAGAGTGAAAAGGGCACATAGTAGAAGGTTATGCGGATAATTCTTATCCTAAATCCAAATTTAAATACATTGGTTGTTCCCAGGTGTACTTATCTATTATGTCAGGAGAAGCAATACACTTATTAGCATCCTGGAAATGCTTTTTTTCTCTCAATGGAAAATCTATTTGACAGTTCTAGAGGAGAGGGGGAAAAAAAAAAAAACTTTTTTATATGCATGCAAATTCCAAGGGTCTGTAGTTTCTATTGTGAGACTGTTGGTTAGGTGAAATGTATCACTCCTTAATGAGAAAAGAAAAGATGTAGCTTCGGAGAGGATTGGAATGTAAATGGATAACTCTTATTCTTAGTCAAATAATTGCTTCTTTTTTTTTTCAGGGCTGTTGCCAAGTCAAATTTCCTTATGTTTGAGAAGTATTTAAGCTTAGAACTACATGCGTCTCAAGAATGTTATCTTTTTGTTTAAAAAAAACTTTTTCATATGCATGCAAATTCCAAGGGTCTGTAGTTTTTATTGTGAGACTGTTGGTTAGGTGAAATGTATCACTCCTTAATAAGAAAAGAAAAGAGGTAGTTTCGGAGAGTATTGGAATGTAAGTGGATAACTCTTATTCTTAGTCAAATTTAATTGCTTTTTTTTTTCTCAGGGCTGTTGCCAAGTCAAATGTCCTTATGTTTGAGAAGTATTTAAGCTTAGAACTACATGCGTCTCAAGAATGTTATCTTTTTGTTTATCTGTGAAATTTAATATTCTTAGAACACGTCCATCAATTGGTGAAATTGAAATTTCAGTTGCTTCAAAAGCCTCAAAGGAATAGATTGTCAAGCATTTCTTTTCTGTGTGACTTAGAAAGATGAAAATAAACAGAGTGAAAAGGGCGCATAGTAGAAGGTTATGCGGATAATTCTTATCCTAAATCCAAATTTAAATACATTGGTTGTTCCCAGGTGTACTTACCAGCTGCATGTTTTTCATGTTGGTATTTACTTGGTCGTTAAGCTATTATATGGGAAGATACTGGTTTACAACCCTGTGATTATTAAGGATGTTCCCTTTTTATATGTTGATTATTGAAATGTAATTTACTCCTGAATACTTAATTAATTTGTGATTAATAGATTCAAGAGCCTTCAAACTAAGGTTGTCGTACATGACATGTTTTTTTTATAATTGCAAGGAAGCATTTATTTTGTGTATTCTGTAAGTCAGGCTATTATAGCACCTTCAATGTGGAGAGGGTACATAATCCTTTATAGCCTTATTTTCGGGAATGTTACCTTTAAATAGAAACTTTTAGAGTGGGAGGGGTGGGGCGGGGGAGCTGCAATATTGCATGCCTTACATGTATCAGTTTCTTTCCCAGATGACGGGGTTTCGTTCTTGCCTTTCGTGGGGTCCTTTAAGGTGGGGGATTGGCTCTGGGACTGGGTTAAATTTTCTTGTGTGTGATAGGTTATGGATGTTCTGATTAATTGTAAATTGTTCTCCCTCAACGTGAAAGGGATCAGGGACAGAGATAAAAGGGAACGCATATTTTTCTGGTGTAAAGATAAAGGGGCAGACATTGTTTTCCTACAAGAAACATTTAGTACTAGCGATTGTGAGGAGGGTTCCAGTTATTTTAGTCATGGTTCTAATCACAGTAAAGGAGTTCTCGTTTTGATTGCGCCGAGGATAGATATTGAGATATTGCAAGTCTTAAAAGACAGTGAGGGTAGATATATTTTTATAGACTGTAAGTTTCAAGGTGTTAGGTTGATTTTAGGCAATGTGTATTTTCCAACAAGAAATTTCGAGAGTGATCAATTGCAATTTCTTCGAAAATTACGCAATAATCTGGCTAAGTTAAATAAAGATTACT